CTTCTCTTTTTTTTCCTTTTCTTTTGGCAAAGATCACTTACAAGTAGTCTTATTACAATAACTCTTGCTTTAAATAAAATAAAACTAACAAATCCAATATCTTAAAAACCTTGATGTCATTAAACCAATTTTCTTTAAACAAAAAAAATATCCACAATTCTTATGCTTGAGAATATAAAGATAATATAATTAAATATGACAAGAAATCAAAAGAGAGTGCTAAAGATTACCTCAACTGGGCGTATTACACCCCACACTGAGTCACTATCATCTGATGGTGCGGGATCAATGATCAACCTTCAATCTCAACCGGGAAAGCAAGTTTAGGCGGAGCCCTCTAATGGAATTATAAACTCGTTTCCCTTAGGTGAATCCCCTTAACAACCTAATTTGATATAAATACTTCTCTTTTCTACTACAACCCTATAGTTTAAAACCCCAATAAGAGATGAGAGATCATGAGAGGGTTGAGAGGACCACCATGAGAGAGATATCAAAGATAAGATAGTAGGGTATGCCCCTTTGGGTCTCTTGAGGGAGACAGAAACTTTCTTAAAATAGAGAGAAAGATATTCTAAGTGGGGCGTGCCCCCTTTGTGGGATATGACAGAAAGATGTGAATTAGGTGTAAGAGATAAGGTGTAGAGATTTTCGGTATAGACAAACCATTTTTATAGGCTTTGAACAAGATTATGTTTTTTTAGCGTTTTTTTTTACTTGCCTCTTCTTATGAGATTGAATATGAACCATTGATCTTAGGTGACTTATGGGGTGAGAGATTTGAGTCATCCATTTTATAGATGGGTCATCAACATTATGGAATATGCTAAAACATTTGTCCCCCATTCCTAAACCATTTTCCCATTAATAAAAATTAAATAAACTAATTTCATTCATAATATAATGCTTACCAAAATTATGCACAAGCCTTCTCATGCTTTCCAAAAATCTTTTTAAAGCTTCCTCAAGGCAAATCTTTTTAAAACACTTCAGAGCTTTCTCTTCAAGCCAAAGCTTGAACTAATACAAGGAAAGTTTCATTAGGGTGGGGTGTGCCACGCTTATCCACATACCATGGTGGGCCCACTAATATATTGGGTCTCCCATGCAATATTAAAATTAATTATATGATTTTTAGAAATCAAATTTGAATATTTAAATCAATCTAAAATCGATATCTCTGTTTTTATAAATCCAAATTTAATAAATAAAATATCCAGAGATCTAGAAGAATTCAAATAACAATTCTAAAAATTATATATCCATAAAACATACATAATTAAATTCATTAGATGAGAAAAACATCCATATAGTCTAGGAATTAAATAAATAAACGCTGGGGCACTCCACCTTCAACTGTGGACTATGGTTCACACTTGTTTTATCAAATTGACCAAGTATTTCCCATGACCCACAGTCTATGCAGAGACTCATTAGCACCAAAGTCTGACCAATGAGCCAAGGGTTAGTAATATCAGTTTGTGGATTTCTGGTTCTACCCTAGAGATGTACCAATGTCATCTAGACCTGATGCGACTACAGCTCCTATTACGTATATGGGTATCTCTCACACATGCATAAGCTTCACCCTAAAACGTGGTTCGCTTTCCCGAAATGGCTATCATTATGCATGACGTGTGATGGCTTGCGAATGAGGCTTTGATCCCCGTCTCTGAAGGCCACCATCGCACACAAAGGTCATACAGTCCCTCGACTCACTCATCTGGGCATACTCCGACATCATCAAGGGATGACCTATTAGAACCCTTATCAGATAATTTTCTATGCCAATGTAACATAAGTTTTTTCCAACCGATTTCCCTAGCTCGTCAAGCTTAGTTCGATATTAGCAAACATCGTTTGCTTAGTATGGTCCACGAGGGACCACACTCCCACTGAGTTCATGTTCCACTATATCATTTTATTTTACAAGCACTCATAAGGCTTTTAATGGCCATACTCACCCAACAACATAAGAGTAATCTCTCCCACATTTACATGTTTCCTCAATAATGACTCACTTTCCCGATATAGTTATTATATGTACATGTCATGTGATAGTTCAATGATGAAACTTTGACCCTCGTCTCTAGAGGCCTACCATTACATACAATGGTCATACACTCCCTTGTTTCACTCGCCTTCGTAACTTCAACCTCATCAAGGGATGACCCTCATCAGTTTTGTTCCATGCTCAGACAATAGGGGTTTTCCAACTTGATTGGCCTAGCACGCCAAATAATATTGAAAAATAATATTTGTCTATCTCAGTCCCTCTAGACCATAATCTCTTAGGCCCTTCGACCATATACTTACGGTGCCTCAGGCCCAAACTCCCACTGGAGTTCTTCATTCCACTATGTTAGATATTGATTACATGCTCTTATAAAGCCTTTAATGGCCATCAAAACCTAACAATAAGTTGTAAGATGTACATCATATCTTGTACCATACGCGACACAAGTTGTGTTGTATAGATCACACCCCGTGAACGGTGTACAATACACCATGCTTATTTTGGCAACCTGCAGGATTTGACTATAATTTCGAAGTAGTGTATTTGATTGAGGTGAAATTTGGACTATAGGAAATCCTTTCTTTATTACCTAAGACATGAGTTAGGTTATGGATTGAAAAGGTGTGAATCATAGGGATAAATTCTAGTAAAAGTCAAGGGTTTAGGCATGGAGTACATTAGTGTCCCAGTGATCCTATGGAGTCATGGAAAACCTTTCTATAAGTCCATAGGAGCTTTATGCATAATCCAGGGCAACGATTCTTTGACTCTGTCATGAAATAGTAAAATCTTAGGCATTTACAAGTGTGTTGTAGACACTGAACAAAAGCTGAATATTCTTTAGTTGTGCAACAATGGGCTTATTATCCTAGAGTTTTACTCGTTAGGACCCATTACTTGTTGGGACCTCCAAATTTGGGACCTTTGAAACCTTAAAGACAGCAAAAGCATATGTATTTTTGGGCATGTTGTTGAAGCAAATTGTTAAGTTAGTTATTTTGAAAAAAAATTGGGTTTTCAACTTGTTTAGCTCTATTTTATCTCAGGTTGGAGGCTTAAGAACTATGTTGAACCAAATATCCTCTATTACGAAGTACAAGCTCTATGCTTAGACCAACTAGTGTGCTTTGCCATATTTTACACTTGGGGAAGGGGTTTATAATTCTCATTGCATTTCAAATTTCAATTGTGGTAGTTAATGTTAATGTCAGAAAAAGTTTATACAAGGTGCCAACGTTATGCTGCAGAAGCAAAGTGCATCTTAAGAACTCATAAAAAAAGAGTTGTTTTGATACTGAAAAACCCTCCAATTGACCATCCCGATGTCGAGATGTATAAATATAGGGAAATTAATGGATTTGTAGCATATTCTTTAATTGTCCATTTTCAAGATTTTTCAGCATTATATTTTTTTGAAATTTTAAATTCTATAATTAGAGGTAAAAGTAAATTTTTAGGCCAATATAGGTGGACACCTTGGATAAACCATACCCATTAGAATTTTACCCCATAATTTAACAGACTTAATAAACTCAGCTATGAAGGGACCAAACGCCATCAGGTTGTCATCTATCTAGCTCCATCATAGTTCGCGATCTTCTGATTGTCAAAGTCTTTAATACATAAGGGCGTATAGTATTAAGTTTTTATAGGGCCTATGCTTTATGAAAAACAAAATAAAGCCCAATCTCAAGTCCTCATCGAGAAAGCACTTTTGGCATTAGAAATCTTCTTGATGGCTCTAAAATTAATTTCTATTGGTAATAAAATTTTAAACTAAAAAATATTACAAATCTTGTGGGTGAACACTTGTTTTTAAGGCAAAATGGATGGACTTAGATGATTTATTGTAATATACACTAATTTTATAATCTAAAATCTTAATTTTTGTGTACAACCATAATGTTTAAGCTGAAAAGTTCGATTGAAAGTTTTTTCAATAGAGAAAATTACATACATATGCATTATAATTTACGTTATTATGGCTACACCAAATATTTTATGTTATTACACAACTATTCAACATTAAAAAAAAAAAAAAAAAACTGTTTTACCCATTTTCGATGTTCAACCTTCAAATATTTATGAAAATAGTGCCATAGTGTATTTCACTCGTCTTCCCAAAGAAAATCGAAGCACCAGATACCTTTTGGCCACTGGGAGTGTAACACCCATTACTAAAATGACTACCAGATGGAGAATCCAGGCCCATGATTCGATCTTTAGGCAAAATAAGGCCTGTATACACTGCAAAATTTGCAGAAGTGCATGAATAGGCCTGAACATTAACACCCCATTTCTCAGAATCCAAGTCAAAAGCAGCTAGCGCTCTTTCACAACAGAGAAGTTGGATTTGATCGATGAATTGGTTTCCCCCATAATACCAAGCACCAGGCAAACTCTCTGAATACTTGTTCGTAAGGTGACTCCCTAAAGCTTCTAGAACAGCTTGACACAAAATTCTCGGAAACTCTTTCAAACCCTTTCCACATGAGAGCCCATAGATGAGGATCAATCGTGGCTAAATGTTGCTTTCCCCGAGCCCTAACTGCCATTCTCCTGGCTTCTAAATCCATAGGCGATGATGAACATGATTCATGTTGCTGCCTTTTCTGAGCAGAAACCACAGAGCCTTCCTTCTCTCTTCTTCTCTTCAAGCACGTGGGGTAACCCAATATGCTGAATTCTTCTTCTCTCTGTTCCTTCACTTCTGTGACTTCCACACAATTGCCGGAATTGCCGTAATCAGATTGCTCAAGCAGCTGCAGTGGTATCGAGGAAGCAAAATTCGATGACTGATCATTGGAAAAGCTCCAATCGAGTTGAAAGCAAATTGAATCATTAGCAATGGGGGTTCGAACAAGTCCATATGCTTCATCTTTGTCAGCAAAGGAATGGGCATTAAACCATAGAGAGAGGTTCGAGCGTGTATCAGATATGTCCATTTCTAGGGTTACGGCGAGGAATTTGAGTTTTCTCCTGAAACTGAAGGGACGATTGAGGGGCTATCACTATTAGGGTGTGGAAATTAAGGTTTGAGCGACAATAAGTTTTCGGATGTTATACATCCCAAATGAAGTTTTCGGATGCACAACATCCAAAAATATCATCATTTCCGAGGTTGGACATCCGAAATTAGTATATTTTCATATATTTTACATTTGAAAATGGCTCTGTGAATATCTAGCAAGTCTGGATATTCACAGTGAAGTTTTCGGATGTCATAATTCGGATATTGAACATCCGAAAAGGGGAAAAAATACTATTGAAGCTGCATCTATTTTTGGATATTGAACATCGAAAAACGGAAAAACAATACTATTGGAGCTGCATCTATTTTGGGATGTTGAACATCCGAAATTTTCACAAATTCGGATGTTGAACATCCAAGCAAAATTGTCTTTTTTAAAAATGATATAGAAGATGAAAAACGAATTGATATGTAATAAAGAAAATCATTTGATGTAACTACAGTAATAACAACGTAACTATACCAGATTTTTAGGTAATTTTCTCTTTTCAATACATGAATAGCAAATTTTTTATGAGTAACGAGGTGAAGCTCTACTTATTTGGCATACGTGCTGCCTTATCAAACCGTTTTCCTTCGGGAATATGCCACGTGTGCCTCAGCTTGGGTAGGGTGTACATAAACCGCACATGTAGGGTCATACCAGTAATTTAAAAATAAGTAACCCGATCCAAATCGGGTGATCCAGATTAGAAAATGCCGTGAGCTTCCCGGATTCAGTAAAAAAAAAAGCCGGGATTCCGAGTACATGGATATAGGTAGTTTACTGGCTTCTTTTTCCAAATTAATCCCTCTTTGAGGGTTTTGATTTATGAGGTGGAAGGTTTGTTTAGAGAGAGAGAGAGAGAGAGAGAGAGAGAAAATGGCTGGTATTGAGTCGATTAGTGTTGATGATGATGAGAGAGAAAGAGGAATGGAGCCTAGAAGGACTTCTATCGCTTCTAATGGCGAAGCTGCCCATCTAGAGCTGGAGATCAGTCCCCTGATCGACCATGAAGAACCCCATGTTCAGAAACCCAAGATGACAATCTTCACTGTTTCTTACCCAAGAGATAAATCCAAGGTACTATCTTTCTGTCACTAGGGCACCACATGTTTTTTCTTCTTTTACCTTTGAATGTGGGTTTGCCCAATTTGGACTCAGACCATTTGAAGCTTCTATTTTCTCAATATTGGCTTGCTTTTGGTCCATATTGATCTCTCTTTCTATCTCTCTTTCTCTCTCTAGCATACATGCGTTTCTACTGTTTTAATATTGGTTAAGCCCATTTAGATGTAAAGGCCATTTGAAGCTTTTCCAGTTTCCATATTGACAGGTTTTGGTCCCTCTGAGACGATTCATGATGCAAGTTTCTTATAATTTTCTTTCTCTGTCCTCTGTCAAATTCATCTGTTTCAACTTTTGTGAATTTGGGTGGAGCCGTTTGGATTGAAGGCCAATTCAAGCATTTACAGTCTGAATCTTATTGACTGCTATTTGGAGCCTAAAGCAATTTATGATTTTGTGGTCCTTGTCATGGGAAAATACACCTTATAGTATAATCTCCATGATGTGGATAAATTATCTAAAACATGGAATTTTAAGTAAGACTTCTCACATTTTATTATTGAAATTAAAGATTCATATACCAAATGAGCTTTGTATATTGATTCTATTCTGAAATTTGTTCTACCTTGTAGAAATAACCAATTAAATTTCTTTTTTATGAGTCATTCGTTTTCTTTGTTCCTTGTATTGTTCTGCTTAGGGTCTGTTGGGCTTTTTCCTTTTTTTTTTTTTTTTGTTTCATTGCGATGTCTGCTACAAAGATTTAGAGCTTTTATTTACGTATGATGTTTTTTGAGATTGTGGTACATTAGTAATATCTAGGGAATTCCCATTTTGAGATAAATAAATGAACCTTATGCTCACTCTTGGGAAAAGATTTAGTTTGTTACAACTAAAAGTTCACTGATGCATACTATTATGTTAGTTTATTCGTATTAACAATAAAGGAGAGAAAATTATAATTCTGAAATGCATGAGTAACCCCTTGCTTCATGTATCGTTATGAAAAGGTCTGCGTGCTTCTTTCTCTAGTCTTAAGTTTTATTTTCTCTTGATTGTATTTGAAGCTCTCTACTGTCTAATGTTCTCTATTGTCTCAAACAAATTTTGGAAATTCTGGGTTTCTCTTACAAAAGCTAGCTTCTCCATAGCCATACTAATTATGCAGTCATCATTGATTACATAGTAGTATTGAACCAAACTATTACTTGTCCATGGTGATGATTTTATTAGTTGTTACCATGGGTGATGATCTATGTGTTTTTATAAATTTTGAAGACTGAAGACCTTGCTTCATTGAAGATATGGGTTGGTGGCCTAGAAGTTATATCCTCCCTCAGTTTATATGTACCGAAGACCTCATTTTTTAGTACGGGCTCAGGGAGAACAGCAAGGTGGGACCCCACTTGAGTTCAAAGTGAAGTATTTCTGTATGGTGGTGGAATCCTTTGTACTGCAGATAGATCTTATCTTTAGTGCGCAAATCCGAAATTGAGCTCCCAAATCCTTAACTTCAAGCTATTTACATCAGAGGTTTCGGTTACCCAATTAACTTCTTTAGTAACCATGAGTGCTACCACCTCCCTTTGCTCTGGTATGTGTAGATATGGCTGTTTTATCACATTGTTACTCCACCAAAAGAACAGATCCATTATGATTTTTAAATGTCTATTGAACATGACAAAGTTTCAGGCATCTTCCTAGAATTAAGAAAGATAGTATGGTACTTCTTGAAATCTTCGTGTGGAACTATAGTAGCAGTGCTTGGATCTTCAATGTCCTTTCGCACTTAAGAAACACTCTCCAGAGGTTGTTCTTGTTGGGACCCTGTGATTGGGCAACCACTCAGTATTCAAATTTATGGAAATTGGAAAATCATTTTCTTAACCCTCCGCCAAACATCATACATATATTTTACCATTAATTCCCTTTAGGGCTCAGCTTAGTGTAGTGGTTTGCCCTAGAGCTCCCAATGCCCTTTTTGTTTGGATGTATATGTGTGCATTTGTGTGTGTGGAACCTTTTCATAGACCACCCTCACCACCCACCATGTGCTGGAGTCACTCAGAAAGCAAGTGTTGATTATCTTTCCAAGTACTTCATATGTCCTTGACTTTTGGACTGCCTCCCAGTTATCCAGATGAATTCTTTGTTTGATCCTGGCCACCCATAAAAGGAAATATTGCTTCACTTTTCCATCCTCTTTGTCACATCGATTAGCATTTGCCATATAAACAACTTGGATGATTAGCCAGAGTAGTAGTTCAGAAGAGTCCTTTGTCCCATGAAATATTCATTTTCCACGTAACCACTTGCCTCATATTAGGAAGTACATGCTCCCACTTATCATGACATATTTATACACAGAGGAAAACCCAAAGAAGCTTTCAACACGGAAGGTGTTGTGCTTCCAATGTTATTGCAGTATACCATTTCACATTTACCCGTCAATCCTGTAACCTTTTACCTTGCCACTTCCTCATAGTACCTGTAACCAAACATAAGGGCCAATTGTTGTTACCTTGGCACATTCCAATTAACCTTTTACCTTGCCACTTCCTCATGGTACCTGTAACCAAACATAAGGGCCAATTGTTGTTACCTTGGCACATTTCAATTAACCTTTTACCTTGCCACTTCCTCATAGTACCTGTAACCAAACATACGGGCCAATTGTTGTTACCTTGGCACATTCCAAAGTTGACATTTCTGACTTTAATATATATGAATCTTAGCCATGTAATTGATAGTTCCCTACAACGCTCCATTATTATGATAAATGTGTAGAACACATTCAAGAGACACAGGCTTATTTAAGTTTTCTCATAAACTCCAAAATTTAACGTTTCCCATGGATCTTAGAATTTTTAAATGGAGTGCTACTCAGTAAAGTTCAATATTTGTTATGTCTATAATTTGTCTCATCTTCAAAAAATATTGTGAGATTGGTTTTGCAAAGGCTGATTCTGTGAAATTTATGTCATGATAGGAGCGGGAAGCAGTAGAAATTGACACAGATTGTTCTGTATTTTATCAATTTGTTTTGTGGACATGGAGCGGATCGCGATACTCAGGTTTCCTATGCATGGCATCATCTTCCGTGATCTATAGCATCATGGAATTTTTGTTGCAACTATTCCCAGGTTAGAATTTTCTCAGAAAAAGTTGTTCTCTTTCCCAGCATATATAGTTCAAATCCAGTTAAGTACTAAAAAGATACTCTTAGTCTCTCTTTCCATGCACCCACACACATGTATCCACACTGTCTCTGAACATTATTTTTTTCTTTCTGCATTATTGCTTTCTTATATTACCTAAAGTTTTCTTATTAGAATCTCTCCTGTTTCTTTTTAGAATCTCTTCCCTCATTTGAGAAATCTCTCCTCTTGAATCTAATTCTTGGTAAAGATAGAAGCATTTATGCGGCACGAGGGAGTAGTTGTTTTAGGAGAGAGTGGTTAGGAACCGTATTGTGAGTCGAGGGGAGTGAGAAATGTTTTTTCCACTTGCTGAATCTGTCTTTGTTACCAAGATAAGAAACAATCAGATTTTTAAAATCTTGGATTTTTTGCATAATGATTAGAAACTTCAAATTGAGACAATTCTTAGGGTACGATGTTAGTAGAGTAGCGTTAGTAGAGTAGCATTAGTAGAGTAGCACTATTTTTATAGACAATTTCCTTAGTGCCCCTATTATAGTTTGGATTTTTCATTTTTAAAATTCTAATTTGATTGAAATTATGTTTTGTTTTTGTTTTTATTTAGTTTCTATATTAAGTATTTTCCTTCTTTTTTATGTCTATGACCGCTGGGTTGACCTGTGGAGTCCTCAATCAATCCCACCAGGTGACTAACTGACTCCAGGATCTAGGTTTGCAAACTATGGTCCAGCTCATTGAAAGGCCACAGAAATTTCCAAAATAGTTAAAGATTTAAGTAATGAATAACTCAAAATATATGAGAAAAATAAGAAAGATCAACTGGTACAAGGTGAATGATCTCTACACGCTTGAACTATTAAAGTAGGGTTAAGGTTTGCTAGAAACTGAAAAGTTTCTTCACAGTTACCTGCAGAATTTCCTAGAATAAAGTCGAACTCGTCCAGTCAAGACTTTCTGAATCTGGGTTAAGACTTGGCCAAGTCTTTTGAGTTTCCTCTTTTTTTCTTTTGTATTCTCTCCACATGACTCAATGTTGTCTGAGCTGGGTAAAGCAATTCTTGGGTTGCAAAGGCAAGTTTTAAAACAATCGGTGGCAGACTCACTGAATATATGGAGAGAATAATATGCTAGAAAATATATTAAGTTGTGGATAAGGTTTAATAAATGGATACTGATCAATGAAAAGTTCAATATAGGTTTACAGCCAACTTCCTGTTATTGATATTGTGGAGGTGAACTTCTGTTGGACTAGAGCCCATACAAGCAAAAGATGGGTGATTTGATTGTCTCCTGAAAAGAGATCCGATGATGTTGAAGAGACAATTATCTCATTTGCAAACATAGTTGGGTAGGATCAATTATATGGCAGTCCTTCCATCCAGATGTCGGTTTCAAAAATTAGAATTAAGGAATAAAAACATAGAATTACAGAAGATAAGCGCATAAAAACTGGAATGAGTTCCTTTAGTTTCATTCTTCGAATATTTTACAACTATGTTGGTGATTTGTGGGCAAGTATTTTGACTAACTAATAAAAAGGAAAAGATACCATGATATGTGCATCATATTGATACTAATGTCACCACCTGCATCTGTACTCAATGGTAGATGAAGATAGTATGTTCTTCCCTTTGAGCATACAATGTCAGACTTGAATGGAAGCACCCCATCTCCACGATCTGTTGTCTAGCATAGGTGGTAGAGATAACATATTCCATATGTTGTGGAAGTATGGAACCCTTAATGATAAATGAACTTTAAGGATGAAATAGAGAAATATGAGATTTACAAAAACCGAGATGCCAAGGTAACATCTCTATTGAAGACTCTAAACTAGTCCTAGAGCATTACAGGATCCACCTTTTCCACCCTCTCATTTGCCAAGGCACCTGTATCTTCATTTGTTCCTTGAAGAGCATGCTGAGACAATGCTATATTTATTTGAATGTTGGCTTGTTTTTATTTTATACAATTTAAACATGTAGAATGAAAATAACATCAAATAAATGTTAAAAATGTTTGAAAAATTCTCTAAAGCTCAGTGAAGCTGAATTTGTAGTAAAGAGGACTGATACATGAACACCTACGCTGGCTAAGGAATCTGCCAAATTGTTCGATTCTCACCAGACATGCACAAACACTATGTTACAGTCCATAAATCTTGCAAACACTTCATCAATGATTGTTGCCAAAACAATATTATGGTTCCATTACAATATCAAAGGTCTTCATGAATAAAGACAAGAAACACCACTGAACTAGTCCCTCCATTCGTGTCATCATTGCATTCAAGAAATCCCCCTCCACCATGACTAATTGACCATCTGTCACAGACCACGATCTCCGGATAGAGTGACAGCAGCCCAACTGTTCTCAGTACACCTTGATAATCCTCTGTCTTATGTCTTCCTGAAAACATCTCCTACTCCAGCTGGATGCGGATCCCTAGAAATGTTATCTTTTATTTTCATGCAATGTTTGCTTTATATCTATTGTTAGGATTTTACATAATCTAAGCCATAAGGAGATGCTTTTCATTTTTTTCTTTTATTTCCTTTTATTGTTTGCTTCATATCCTGCATTACTACTTGAAAATCATTAGCTTTTGCATAAATTTAAGACTTAAGGTAAGGGTTTTGGATTTAATTCATATTTTGTTAAGGGCTTATGCTGTTATTAAGGGCTTATGCTGTTATGAACTATGTTGTTTGACTTATGAATAATATTGTTAATACCTATTTGTTGCCATTTCTTGACCTTGACAGTGAAATCAATTCCATTATTCGAAATTATCTTTGCAAGATGTACAATTATCTTGATCTTGTCGCTTGTGTGGTTGAGAAGGTATGGGCAACCAGTACTTGGACCACCGCATGTCAGAACTCTTTTGATATCAAGAGCACTGATGGGGTATCTATCTCTAATGACTTTTGTATATAGGTCAGTGCTCCACAAGTGTTGTTCTCTTTGATAGGTGTTAGTTTATTTTATTAAGTTCTGGATTTCTTTACTTTCTCTTGCCTTGTTATATTTGAGGTTTTTCTTGTAGAATTTGTTGTTGGAGGAGATGTTGCTAATTCAAGGACTATTTTGAAATTCGACTATGGAAATAGACTGGGCACATTATTCGTGCTGCATATTTGATGGCAATTGGCAAACGTTTTTATGCATTTGCTCCCCAAACTGAAAGGATTGTCCAAACTTTGTTCTTGAAACAAGGCGAAATGTTTTGGCCTTGAAAGAGACTGTTGGTTCTCAAGCATAAGCAATGGAGAATAATTAAGTAGGAAAGTGTGAGTGTCACTGTTCTTGTTTCGGCTCGTTTAGAGGGTATTGCAATGGATGCTTTTAGCTTCTCTTTTCATCTGCTTCCATTCACCTATGTGTATTACTCTACTTGATCTACATTTTGCTAGTTTTCATTTTCTATTTCTTTTGACTTCTTTAAGTATGTTCCTCAAGCTATTTTATTTGACAGTGTGTAGTAGTTATGCTATTCCTAACAAGGAGGATAACAGGCTAGGTTTCAATGAGTCCCTCTCACAATTTATGAAACCTAGTGATGTGAACACTATTATTAGCTTCGCTTTGTGGCAGCCAAATTGGCTGAGGTATGTGGTGTTGGATATTGGACCAAAATGAAGCTAATCCAGCCCCAAAATTTTAAAATATTAAAACAAAAATTTGGAAATATGTCTTAACATTTCAAAAAATATTGTGGCTACACCTTAAAAAATACCAAAAATATGCTTGGTCTTCACGAAATTTTTGATAATGTACTCATGTATTGAAATTAATCTTAAAGCATGTCCACTTTATAGCTAGAGAGAGATATATATTGAGAGAAAGGTTAATTTTTATAAGAGATATATACAAATAGTCCGAAAAGGACCTAAGGCTACCCACAATAGATGGGTGCTTTTTTTACAAATAATGGGCCAAATAAACAAAAAGCCCTTAGAATTCTTTCGTACAAGGAGTAGGCTATTACTAAAAGCACCGGGGAGGTCATGGAACTGAGAGAGAGAGAGAGAGAGAGAGAGAGAGAGAGAGTATTATTCTTAGTACGCCGTCGTTTAGGTTTTACGGTCGGTTCGTTTACCGTTACG